ACTTTAGAACTTTGACGTCCATAACTTTCGAACTTTGGCGCCCTCAAGATGGTCAAACCGCTTTACATCTTAATTACCGTCACCTTACTTGTTTTACCCAGGCAATTTTCACTTGGGCTTCTTCAAGGCTTGGGGCGATCAGTAGGGCACGAATTATCCTGAGTGTGCTTGGCCTTGCGCCAACCCAGGGTGTACCCGAAGAGTGTTTGTGGCGTTGCTGAGCAAGGGCTTGTCTATGTCCCTGCGCCCGGGACCAGAGTAGCTCGCAGCAAGCGCAGGAGCCTTGTGGCATAGGTCAGTTAAGATTTGACGGCTTTGATGGAGGTTGAGGAGGTAGCCATTTTGGCAAGCCATGAGTTGCGCGCAGCGGCCGCAGTTTTTTCGAGACGTTGGGGTCTGTCGGAGCCTCCGCAGTGATGATTCCATCACCTCCTCCCGTCCCTCCTCTATAGTGATGTCGCCTCCTCCTGCGGCCTCGCTCCTCTGGATGGTGTCTCTCGCGTTGCTCAAGCCATACAACATCGCGAAATATTGTGAAATTTATGCGCATGGTCATTGGAGATGACTTTGGCTCTTCTTCGCTTTCAACTCAGCTTCGAGGTCTTGCACGCCGCTCTTCAGCAATCACTACTTTCAGTCTCACGCATCTTCTCACGCCTGGACCTGAACAACTCGTTGCCGAACTACAAGGCCAAACCGCCTTTCCTGATCCGCGGTTGTCTACGCGCTCTACATCTTCACCCTTCCTTGTTCTTCGTCAACCGGAACCGCTCCATTGACCTCTCGATTTGGCACTTCGTTCTTGACTACCTCCTTTCCTTCGTCCGGGGCCTCATCGACTCGCCCTCATTCTCGTTCCCGGCCTGCTGCTGCTCGATCCTCGCGCAGATACTTATCAGACGAGTTCCATCTTTCTTCATTTAGAAAAGAATTCTATGTTACCTCTTTGCCCCCACACTTTCACTCTTACGCGGACTTTTCAGCCAGGCCTTCCTCCTCGGAGTCAGCGTCGCGCGCTTGCCAAGATCCTCCGCATCGCCGCTTAGCTTCTCGTTCACGCCAGATTGGCAAGCTGACGACACCACCGCCCCCACGCCCACACTCACACCGGGCTCCAGTTCCACGGGCCCTTCTCCTTCATTCCGCACCTCTTCCCACCCACGTTCCTTCCCTCACCCCTCATCTTCATGGACTTCTCTACCAGGACCACCTTGTCCCGCAGCACCAGCTGCGCAACCAGCCGGGTTCCACCATAACTCCGCACTCCACGACACTTCTGCCCACCCATCATTCCTGTCACACCTGCCCCCCGCGAAAATTGGAATGCGGTTGACAGACGGATGGAGGTATATCTACAGTCAGACCCTGCTGGATGTCCCTCCCCTGGATAGCAGTGCCAGCATTAAATTAGTGGGAGGATCTGCCACTCAGTCCTCGCTTGGGTTGGTGCTGTGCTCGCCTTCGACGACATCAACGACGACAACAACGCCATCATGCTGAATGCGTTCTTGATCTTCATCTTCTTCGAGCGTCCGATGTTCTTCACCTTCTTCATCGGTTGGGCAGCGATACCAAGGACAGTTCTAATTCTATGTCTCTCGAGTACTTGGCAGCCACGAAGCTTCTACTGAGTTCCTCTACCTTCTTTGGTCCCAACACTTCCACATCGATGAACCTTGGCGCTCTCAAGCTTCTGCGCAACTCAACCAGCACTTGCTCTCTCCTCCGCCAATCTTCAAGACACTGTTTGGCCGACCGGGACCGACTTCTACAAACACACCACTATAATGCGACGTGTGGTTTCGAACCTTTCGCGTCGACACATTGAACGGCAGCACTTCTTTCTTCAACAATGGCTTTTTCATCAACAGAACCTTCACTTCACGCCCCTTCCGCTCCACGACGGACTCACCAAGATCTCTCCCTTGTCTAGCGGCATACCACGCACTTTGTGGTCGGACCTGGAGATCATGTTGCACACACTGCCGTGTTGTCGCGCCCACTTCTCAAAAACCACCTCCTCCGCAAGACGTTCGTTCCCTCCAGCTTTCCGTCCGCTACGTCATGGCGCTCAATGGCCTATTGCAGTATAGCTCTTCGCTACAAATTGGGCCTTCATTAGGATCGCCGCATTCCTTCAGCCTACATCCTTCCCAAACCTTCTTGCGATTGGGGCAAAGCCTGCCCGATTGTGTCCTACACCAACACCGTCGCTGCCCTGTCGAGCTGACTTGTCGCCGCGGCCATTTACTGCATTCTTCATGTGTTTTCCACGCCTCGTGGCAACTTCACACCATGGACGACCTCTCACTCTATCAGCGCGACATCGCCGGTTTCTTCGACTTCATCACCCACCCGTGCATTATCCACACCATCGACTATCATCCCATCCATCGCTACGCCCAACTCCAGTGCTTGGACCTCACCGACTCACCGACCACCCAGCCCTCAGTGTTGCTGAATGCCTTCAGCGGATCTTCAGAGGCCGCGCGCGTCGCACCTGTCAGACTCATCATCACATTTTCTTCGCGACCTTCCTCTGTTAGTCGATGCACTCCTCAACACCTCGTACTTCAGAATGGGCCACTCCGTCTTCAAGCAATGCCATGGGCTCACTACTTGCCCCAGCTTTACGCAGTGCCGTTGCTCTTTTTCGCGAACATTGCTTCTTATCACATTCTTGGCGACGCCGCGGGACTTTGTCGACAACGTCTTCTTCCTCGACGCTACCAAGATGCTCCAGACAGAGTCCTTCGCGATCGTCTCCCACCCTTTCTTCTACTGCTACCCTTTAGAGATTTTAGAGATGGAAAACTTGTTGATGATGATTGGGCTTGTCCACACCGCGCACTCTGCTGGCTCTCCCACCATGGCTCTCAGAAATTTCCACACACACACACACGGACACGGCGTCCTGACTTCCCGCCTGACCCAACCTCGCCCAGCAGCACCTTCTCAAGGCCTTCTCTTTTCGACAACGCTGGAGGGGAAGGCGTCGCTGCAGGTGCAAATGGCCAGACTCAACAGCGTTGCCATCGCTGCCTATGACCTGGAGTAAGACCAGGTCAGGTGTCTGGCCACTTTGATGTCTGCCACGCTCGCGCTCAACCCAATAATATTGGGGCCCACGCGCAGTGGAGCTCGAGCGCCGCACTGTCCCATCCGCGGATATTTCCACTGGCGACGTTTTCGGACTATAAGTCAGCACAGCGCAATCTCCAAAAAGCAAAGGCATGGAGAATGAGCACACCAATGCATCCCGCAGCCCAGATTGCGGGGTTGACTGGCAAGCGCCATGAGCAGGGTCCACGTCAACAAACAGTACATCAAGGCGGCGGGCGTGCGCTGGGGCCAATGGACTCGCCACCGTCAGGATACATCACGAACTTGGCTTCGCTCAGACTTCGCATATGAAGAGTTGGGGAGGAAGGTCTCCAGCTCCGTGACCGGGGAAACTAGTTGCATGTGGCCACGGGCGCCCATAGTGCTTCCTGCAAGGTCCAGCCATGAATCCTCCTCCTCGACAAATACCGCCTGGAGAGAACCCCTTGACTTTTAGCGGCTTCGAAACGAAAAGGAAAAGGACTGTATATAGTTCCAGTCCACCGACACATGGTAGACACGCAAGGCAATCCTCCGGCAGGGCAGAAACGTTGGTAGCTAGCGCGAAGGCTGGATTCGAATGAGTTGCGCCTGACTTCATTCTGAGCCTCCTCCACGACATTGGCCTGTCGCGCAATTGCTGCAAGTGACCCTAAAGTGGCGGTGGCAACTTTCAACTTTGTGTGTATGTACGTAAGTCACGATGCAAGATGCCCGGCGCCATTCCTAGAGAGCCAGGAGTGCTACATGTTGAGCCTTTGGCAGTGTTTTAAGGCTCATCTTGGCGATGTAAAACTGAAGGCTTAAAGCTTAAGCCTTTGAGTCAAATGGTCGTGGGCAGCAGAAAAGGTTTGGCGCCCAAACGCTGAAAGTTGCAAACTATAGGCTTAAGTTTGGCGCCCAAACGCTGAAAGTTGCAAACTGTAGGCTTAAGTTTGGCGCCCAAACGCTGAAAGTTGCAAAGTATAGTCTGTCTGGGCTGGAAGTTTGGTGCTCAAACGCTGAAAGTTGCAAAGTACAGCCGGTCTGCAGGCTTTAAGGTTTGGTGCTCAAACGCTGAAAGTTGCAAAGCGGCAACCCAGACCTTGAACCCACAGTATCTCTTCTATTGAAGAGATACTGTTCTATAATAGAATATATTTATATATGTGTGTCATGTGTGTGTTTCTGGGGGTTTGGTCTTGTTCTGTTTTTTTCAGAGGTTTGAAGTGGACCCTGCGCGTGCCCGCCGCTTCTCTGACCATCTAGTGACTAGACGCGGTGGACGCAAGTTTGGAGAAGCCATGTTTGAACCCCACTTCACGTGGCCACAAAAACTAAATGTGGGGTTTTTAGTCTCAACATGCAACCCCACTTCACACTTTGCCCAAAAACTAGATCACTTGCCATCATTCCCGCCGATTCCCGTTCCATCCATGGCTGCCGGTTTCTTCTGCCGAGTGCGGATGCTCAGATTAATCTGAGCGCTTGTGCACAAACAGTTCCAAAAGAGCCCTATACCTGCTAAGGGTGACGGACTCTAAAGTGTTTGGATGTGCTCTTGAAGCAATCCTTCCCACTTGTTGCATTAGATCCTCGTCTTGGTAGTTGTGATCGAACCTGAGGTGTGTTCAGGTCAGAAAGGTTTTTGAGGTGAACCAGTGTGAATCCAACTCATAAACAACAAAACTTTGGAAACAAATCTTATTTGAGAAACCTGGGATTGCGCTTGGTCTCTTCCACGTATATGGTCAGCTCCAGCATGGAGTGGAACTTGGGAATGACTTTAAAGGTTCGCCGCCCGTCTGACCGCTTTCGGTCGTTGCTAGCAAGACGTTGGTAGGCCACCAAACCATCCCGTGCTGCTTGGACCATTTTACGAGCATCATCATTGCTCAGAAAGGGACCGTGTGTATCCATCAAAAACTGGAAGTGAGTAAAATGGTACATGGTCTGAGCTCGTCTCCTCCCCTTGTGTGTTGTTCACCTCTTAGGTAATCCAAGCACCAATACAACATTGATTTGACCACGGCTGCCTTAAATATGGATCCCAACTCTGGATATGTGCTCCATGTGTCCTTCCCGAACCTTGCCAACGAAAACCTGTGTGAACATGCAGTCGTGTATGCGGCTCGCTCTTTGCACCACGTTTTGTAGTGCTTGTAAACTTCTTGGGAAAGACGTTGGTCCATCTCCTTGAGGGTGATTCCTTCGTACTTGGATTCCAGCGTGTCGCATACCAAGCTGGCGATCAGGACACATGCCACTCCTTGATGGTACACATGGAGGACGTCCTGGGATCCGGGATCCGGTGAGATTGCGCAGGTCCACCCATGGGTGTCATCCTTCTTTAGTTAACCAAAACAAAAAACAAAACAAAATATTTCTTCGAGACAAGGCTCTTCTAGGTTTCTTTCCTTACACCACCCGGGAACAGATTCCCATGAGGATTGCTTGTTTCCCTGAAGGATGCGATACTCTGCATGGGTGAGCCGCTTGCTCATGCACGCGGCATTCATCCTAAAGTCTCCATAAGTGAACTGGGGCTCACGTGATGCCATGCAATGCTCGCAAATGTATTTTGCATTGTAGAAGCGTGTACTCTTGTGGATTACTTGTCGGGCTTCCCAGTCACCCTTGAAGGCAGCGAAACAAAGCCTCCACCCTCCGGCAAATGGCAAACCAGCCTTTGCTGCTTGCAGCGAACTTGTGTCAAAGCGCTCGCCATTGACATTTGTCATGGGGTACTTTCCAGTCATAAGGGTTCTGACAACGTACCCTATAGTGTGACCAACTTTGTCATGGGACTTGTTCTTCACGATCATTTGCTCACGAAGGAGCAAGAAGACTAGCTTTGTTTCCAAAGAGCCTCCTTTCCTGCATGCACTTGCGTAAGAGTAAACCCACGCTTTCTGATGCTTATATATTTTCACGCCGTCCGCATGGAAGAACAAAGGTACAGTCATCCGAAAGTCACCCTCCTGAAGGTCTAGCTGGTCAAAGAAGCTTAGATTGACACAATGTCGCCAGTACTCTTCCACGCGGTCACTGGCTTCAGAAGGCTGGTCTGAGACCCACCTGAGAAACTGACCAGATTCCCATAGTGCAGCTAAAACATCCCAAGGCCACAAAACAGCGACTGGGTAATCCTGCTCGATCTCTTCACCCTCGACGTTTGAAACATTCATGGGGACCATAATTTGGCTCGGCTGAATAGCGCAAAGATCTTTACACCACCTGTGGTTAACGAGCAATGTTGGCATCAACATTCAAAACTGTTTGAGGGCATTTGAGTAAACAGTTGCAACCATGAAACACCTTTTGGCAAAACACACGCCTGGAGAAACATCGCTCTTCGCGACCCCCGTTTCCCCACTTGGTGAGGAGTCTTGCCAAGGGGCAATCTACACCGTCCTCAATCAATCGCGCCGCGTCTCGGCAACCATCTCTCGCGGATGTGGCCTGGGATGTTTGGCGGTGGCTCCAACCAAACCAAGCGTTGAAAGGGATGGGACTGATGAGATGTCTTTTGTTGCCAAGGTTGATGAGATGCTTTTGAAACGGTTGCTCATACTTGTTTGGGGCCCTGACTCCACCACAGATCTTCTTCAAGATTCGAAGAGCCGAGTGGGAGGAGGCCTTCACGATGTCATGACCTCATAGGTCCAAACACGCATACTCCAAACACACATACTTATAGAGGTGATGCCACCAAAAGAACTTCGAAGAACAAACACTTGCAAGGTTAAGAGGATTGGTGCACACACTCGGTTCGGCCAAGGTGCCTGCACTGGAATCTCGCTGCTTCGGAGGAGACCTGGATCGTGATGTCGATGTGGGCCTGCGTGGTTTCAGACCAATAGTGGATTTCTTTTGAAAGTCAGCTGATATGGATAGTTGAACTTGAGTGGATGGACTCAATATTTTCTCAATGCCTTTGATGCTCTTTGATGCCATTGCAGGTAATCCCGCAAGAGTTTAATTGGATTTCTCCAACCTGTCAACTTGTTGAATGCGACCGTGCAGCACCCCGCTACAACTCATTGGAAATTGTAAGCCGTTGGAAGTCCATGTTCGACCTATGTTGCTGACTTGGTCCAGCACTCAACCCCCCAAAAAAATGGGCCCTGGCTTTGATGCGCTCTAAGGCCTTCAAGCTTCAACGAAGTGAAACTAAGCAGTAGTGGGACTCTTGCCCGACACACGCTCTGCAGCACCAGCTTGGTCTTTCTTTTCTTCCTTTTCCTTTTTGGACGTTTTCTGTTTCGCTGGTTTCTCTGAAGCCCTGATCAGGGCTTTGGCCAAATCAATCCGGTCCTTCGCCACCTTGGAATCTTCTTCCACCTGCCCATGCTTTTAGATGCACGCATAATGAAATGGTAACCTTTACATGCTTTAGATGCACGCAAAATGAAATGGTAATGCTATGACAAGAGATTTCGCAAACACTTCACCTGATCTTCCACATCACGATAGTATTTGCTTTTATTATACTTCTTGGAAATCCGTGACTGCAGAACATCGGCCCAATGTTGCAGCTTGACTGCACACGCTTTCAGCTGCGTAATGAGATCGGTGGACAGCGCCAGTGGACGAAGCTTGAAGGCGTGATCCCTTACGGCAGTGTCGCGAATGTTCCCTTTCCCCCCATGAACGATGAACGCTAAAGTTAGCACACCATGCTGCCCAGCTACCTGCAGGCGTTGACATCTCTCAAGACCCGCTGCAATAACGATTGAGCTTTGGCGATGGGCTGTTCAGCCTCAACCTGATGCAAATGAAACACAAGTGCTGTGTAGCCTCAACCTGATCCATGACAGATAATAGATACTGATAGATAGGAAAACTGTGGCCTTCTTGGCATCATCTTTCTTTGTCTTGTCTGGTTTATCTTTCTTGTTCTTTCCCCCTAGCTTCGCACCCCCAACTGCATCAGCCAGAGACTTCATACCGCTTGATCCAGCCATCTCACCAAGGGATAGGTGTTGCTTCCCATCAAGGCACCCGCCAGCCTGAGTTAGACCATATGTGATGGTATGCTCAATGGGGTTGTTTCAAGTGTTGTTCTGATTCTATTTCAATACAGGCGATCAATCATGAATAATCATGACAAGTAGCCTCAACGAAGGCCCGAACGCCGTCGGCGTCCAGGGTTCCGGTGAGTTCAATCTGGGTCACTCGACGGAGCTCTTTGATGTCATCGATGTTGAATTCCACCATGACGAAGAACAAGTGCTCGTCCTCCCCTGGAAACTCTGGGTCTGGTATGGTCCTTATACGGTGCACCGCGTGAGGATGCATATGGATTGGACACGCTGGAAGCTGTGGATTGGAAGAGGCAGGATAATGGGAACAGAGTGGTGTTGGCGAGGCTTTGGGCATCCAGAGGTACATTTGTTGTGGGTGGTACCCGAAACATATGTGTTCACCGAGTCTCAATCCCAACTGCCGCTTTCTAGTCATGATCTTTTCAGCTTTGCGTTGCCCATGGTTCTTGATGAGCCACTGATCGTTTCGAAAGCCATACCTCACCTGAGTTCGCTGGCTCTCCATCAGCCGGGCCTCAAACCTGGCTTCCACCTGTTTGAAGTCCTTGTCGGAATTCAAGAAGTCCAGGAATAGCTGGCGTCGAGTTTCCTGCGGTTTGAAATAAGAGCAAGTTGAATTGGGAATTGATAGGTTGAACTCTATGATCGAAGAACCTTGATAGCCAGATTTTGGGAATGTTAGGTTATAATGTTTTCAACCCCATGCAGTCCTGACTCTTACAAGCTGCAACGATCTTAGCAGGACACCGTCGGCTATTCTTCAGCCAGCGCTGAAACTGCTGCCACTCTGCCCGGTTTGTAGTGCTATTCTTTGATAGCGACTCCTCTGCCCCCTTCAAAGGCTTCTCGCTGTCCTCGCATTCATTCTTTTTCTTTTCTTCTTTTCGCTTGGCCTTCTCCTCTTTCTTGCTGTGCTTCTTCCCTTTTTTCTTCTTCTTCTTCATATCCTTCCCCTTCCCTTTCGAGTCCTCCTCCTGCTCCTCCTCCTCCGCATCTGAACCATCTGAATCATCATGTTTTCTTTTCTTTCCCTTTGTGCTCTCTTCTGATTCTGATTCACTGCTACCTTCCTCTCCTTCTTCTTCATCCTCATTCTCCTCTTCTTCACTTTCATCTTCTTTGTCGCTTCCATCTTCACCAGTACTGCTGCTCTCATCATCGCTGTCGTCACAGCTTTCTTCTTTGCCATCATCTTTCTCATGCCCCGTTGTCTTCTTCAAGATGCTCTTGGGAGCTGGCTCATCAGCTGGCGATTCACTAGCGCTTTCCGAATCAGAGCCTTCTTCTTCTTCTTCTTCAGTCTCACTTGAGTCCACCTCCTCCTCTTCTTCTTTCGTGTCACCTTTCTTGTCCCTGTTCTTTTCAGCATTCTTCTTCTCGCTCTTGCTTTCCTCCTTCTTGCTGCTCTTCTGTTCATCCTTCTCGCTCTTGCTTTCCTTCTTATCACTCTTCTTTTCATCCTTATCGTTCTTGCCTTCCTTCTTATCACTCTTCTTTTCATCCTTCTGTTCGATCTTCTTTTCTTTCTTCTTCTCGCTCTTCCTTTCTTCCTTCTTCTCGCTGGTCTCTTCACCCTTCTTCTCCTCATTCTTCCCACTCTTCTTTTCATCCTTCTTCTCGCTCTCCTTCATATCGCTTTTCTTTACCTTCTGATCCTTCTTGCAATCCTTCTTTTCTTCTTCATTCTTTGCCTTCTTATCGCTCTTCTTTGCCTTCTTCTTGCTTTCCTTTCCCTGCTTTTTCTTTTGAGGCTCCAGTGGAACCTCACCGGACTCCTCGCTGGCCTCGGTCGACTCCATGTCATCACTGTCGATGCTGGGAATCACTGGTTCCTCTGGCACATCACCCTCAGGTTTTTGTTTCTTCTTGGAGCTTTGACTTGTCGTAGGCAGGGCATGTTTTCTTTTGTCCTCACCCTTGTCTGCCTTGCCATCTTTGTCCTTATTCTTCTTCCCTTTGCTCTTACTCTTCTTGCTTTTCTTCTGGCTTTCTGTCTCCTCCCGGGTTGCATGGACTCGGTATCTATCCCACCACTGTCTCATTCTTTTTAGTGGCAACCTGCGTTTTTTCAGCTTCCCAGAAACCCCTGGCGCTTTTGGATAGAGCCCTGGACATTCATACTTCTTCCAATACTCAGCGAACATGTTTGGTTTCTCCTCTGAACTTGAAGCACCCTCACTGGGCCCCTTTTGGCCAGGCTTGTCCTGGATGCATGGGGTTGGAGTCGACTAACAAAGCAAACGGATGACTGAGCTATATATATTGGGAGTGACAGCAACAAAACACAAAGTGGGTCCTTAAGGGCAAGTAGAATGGATTCTGCTTCACGAAGATCGGGCGCTTTGTTCTCAGGCACGATGTCATGAACTCTGTTTTCTCCAAAGGAAATCCTTTGCCTGACATGGTCCTTCTCTACAGACTTGCACCGGGGGGATGCTTTCTTGACCCGGGGCGGAGGGGTGACATATGCTTCCCCCTGTTTGGATGCCTTCTTCAACGCTTTCGCGTTGGGAGATCTACCTCTCGGCGCCGATTTGCCGCGATGCCTCCTGAACACTTCTTCAGGCATTGCGGCGCCCAAAGCACAGCTAGCTAGGCACTCCCACTACAAATGCACCGCGCTTGATTCAGCATATATATAGACGACCCTTGTTTTGTACGAAGCGGGATCAAAAACAATGAAGTTGAGCACACACAATTCGTGTGAATCAATCATCAAATACTTTTCATCAGCTGGCGAATGTGCACACTCGCAAGCCCTCAATTAGGTTTGGGCCAGTTAATTTGTTCTGAGTTGGCTAAACCTGATGAACTGTTGGGTGAATCTTCCAGCTTCCATTCCCTGAACCAGATTCCCGGGTTCCCTTAATGAGATTCCCTCAAAAAAACTTCAGTTCTCTAGCAAAACCACAGCACCACCAGAACCCAGGAATTTTCCCGGGTTTTCCCGGCTAATTCCCGGCTTTTTCCCGGATTCCCGGCTTTGATTTTTTTTAAAAAAGTTGTGATCTTTGATGGTTTTTTGCAAAACTATCAGGGAACACATTGGAATGGCACCCAGCCAGTCATCCACGCCCTCACTTCCGCAATGCCCGTGTCACATCCAGCAGGCCAGCACGCTCTGCTAAGCCGCCATCCTGCGCGGAGCCGCAGATTGACCGCGATCCATCGATCGATCGATCATGCACCAACATATAAACAAAATATAATCCACATATAATCCATATATATATAGACATCAAACAATATATATACATATATCAAACAATTTATATCATCACTAAACCGAGAATCCGAGAAACCGAGAATCCGGGAATGCGAGAAACCGAGAATCCGGGAATCCGAGAAACCGAGAATCCGAGAATCCGGGAATCCGAGAAACCGGGAAGTCAGGAATCCGGGAAATTTAGGAATGAGAAGCCGGGAATCCGGGAATTTATACATCCATGTATCCAGGAATATATATATATATATATACAATCCATATATCTATATATATCTCGGACATGTATTTGTGAAGAACCTGTTTGGAACCTGTTTGGAACCTGTATATATGGTATTAATTGGAACCTGTTTGGAATGCATCTTTTCTTTTGAAGATATATACAGCACCATGCATGCCCAAACAAGCACTAGCTGTCCTTGAGGACAGCCTTCGACATAGGTGTTGACCGAGCCGCCAATGCTTTCCTCAGATCAAGTTAAGCACAAGTATAGAGCTATACCATATACCCATACTCAAGTAGTTTCATAACTGTCGCATGCGCCCTGCACACCCATACTCAAACACCCATATATGGTCACGACGCATGTACATATATGCTGATGAGTCTCGCAGTGTCTTGCACACAGCGCTTCACATCGGATTGATAGCGCTCCCATAGTTGAGCGACCGCGTGCCCAAACAATTTTGGGTAGTACTGGCTTGCTTTCAAGCCGGGTCCTCCTTGTACTCGATGGTGCCCTGAAGAATCAATATACCTTGGACGCCAATTTAGGAGAGGTCTTCAATTCTTGTGTCCTCTCAACCCTCTTCAAAAGCTCTTGGCATGTGTAGAGGGTTCATGCAAACAAAGTTACTTGATGCTGATGTCTCCATCCCATTCTCGGTCTGAAGGGAGCGGCAAGTAAAGCTCTTGGATCCATTTGCAGCTGCTGTAGAGAAGTGTGCCCTTCGGGCCTCGAGGAACCAAAGTTAAAGTAAACGCATACTACATGGATGCAAATGGGGACACTCATGCCATATGCACATGTAGAGAGGTGTACCCTTTGGGCCTCGAGGAACAAAGTTAAAGTAAACCCGTTGTGTATGGGGACACTCACGCAATGGCCCTTTGGCTCCTAAGGTTGTGGACCACAACTCAAGGCTGTTCGACAAGGCGCTGCTTCCGCCATATGAGCCAAGCCAAACGAAGACCTGGGCGACGTTGTGGGTTTGCTTGGGGTCTCCATGCAGAGGATGTCAACCTCCTATATCACTTGTTGCGAACACTGCTCCTATACTCTAGCTACTCTAGCTGTGACATTTGGTTGTTTAGCCAGGCCACCCGGTAGACAGTAAACTTTGCGCAGATCCTCTGGAAGTCAGGGTGATATTGCAGAAGGGATGATCCGGGCTGCTCCAGTATCCACGGCAGGCCAAGGCTGCAACATATGTAAATCATAATGCAGCAGCGGGTGACCATCCGATTCCTTAGATACACTTCTATCACCAAATGTGTCCCGCATGCATAGACATATATTTATATGAGGACATATGTGCGCATGGATTCTTTCTGTGTGTTTTGCGATCACTGCCCATGCCTAGCTGCAAGGCTTAATGCCTGTAGACCCCCGTGCTATGCTCTTTGCATAGAACCCAAAGGAAAGAGCCAGCCCCACTCTTGGAAGTTGTCACCCCTTATTGTTGAGACCATATGGAAACAGAATCACTGAGGGGGCTGGCGCATCAAAAAGAGCTGAATGTCCAAACGGCTACAATAGGCCCTGTGTGTGAAAGCCGCGACACTGGTCAATCAACACATCCGGTTGGAGGTGAATCAACATGTAACATGTTACCATCATACAGCTCGGTTGGCCGCGTGAACACACACATCTAAGGCCTAGCAGCCTAGCATCCATGGAACATTTACTTAACGTCCACCTACTCACGTGCCATCCCCATCAAGACCTGCGCCTTGTCCCAGGCAGATTGGACGTCATCCTTTGCAAAGGAAATCCTGGGCATTGCAGCAAACAGGCTTGGCAAAATGGCAAAGGAACTTCCGGAGCATTGCACCAAGCCAGTCCCAAGTGAAAAGCTTTTTTGGACAGGTTTCAAAACTACTTCATGAAACAAGACTCGATTTGGCAGCCTGACCGGTAAGCAACTTCCCAGCCACATCGGATTTGGGTTTCAAAGCTTGCTGGCGAAGAAGCACTTCCACCCGAGCCTTCGAAGCTACCCACCTTATGGCGTCGTTCATAGGTCATTCAATTGGTAGTAAACATGCACCCTAAAGTGTTATGCGTTTGCTCACCCTTCACAGTAACATAAACCCTGTATGTTGTTGGTCGAGAAACACTGTGTAGCTGTGCTGCCCATGTCGACCACTGGTTGGCTGAAGAGCACGAGGCATAGACAAAATCAGGTTACGATAGTCGGTATGGAAGGATTCCAAAACTTCATCCTTGGTCTTAGATGATTCTGAATGTTTCTTTTCCTTCTTCTTACTCGAACCCTTGGACTTCGCCCTCCGCTTGCGTGTCGGAGGTGGCAAGTGCACTGGTGATGGCGAATCCTCCTCGTCACTCTCCTGCTTGCTTGGTGCCTGAGAAGGGCTGGCGGTAATGGTGGACCCTCGAGGATGAAGGTGACATCCAAGCAGGTCTCGAATTTACATATTGAACAAACATGGTATGTGGGAATTTGACTTGACATATCACTTTAAACAACAAACTGTTGCGTTGCAACCAGTTCCTGCGGGTTGAAGAGAACCAAAGCATGGTTGTGAGCATGGCGAGTCGGTGAGGGCTCCACATCTTTGGAATCATTGTCTGAACCGTCGGCCTCCTCGTGTGGCACCATCGCCTAGAGACACCATGTAAGTTTTCCACTAGACACAAAACAATTATTGGTTGGCAAACAAGCAGCACTGACAACTTAGACCCTGACATGATGGTCCCGTGGGTCTTCAACTTCAGACTCAGGGGCAGGTTCTGAAGAGGTTGACTTGGAGGTGTATGCTGGACGATCTGGTATTCCAAAGAAGTTCTCTGGGATAGGATCATCCTCCGAACTGTTTCCATCGTCCCCACTACCGCCCAGCTGGTCAGTTTCAGCGTCCAGCCCTGGATCATCAGCGCTGTGATTGCGCATCAGATCCTTCAAGACCTGTACCCAAGCATTGCGGCTGCTATGCTTGGAGTTCTGCCACTTCCTCAAGCAATAGCACTCATCCCCCCAAACTAAATATACTCTACCAGAGACTCTACCACGCATTTTCCAATGTGTTTTACAATCATCCTTCTTTATCTCTGCAAACTTCACTTGATTGAGCTGTTGAACTCATGTCCTTCGAAGCCCAGACCATAGTTTCTGGATCTTGCTCAGGATCGACTCCAGCATGGTTTCATAGTCCTTACGCGTTGTTTCAAAAGAAAGACAGTCTGTTAGTTGCTTCTTCAAAGAACTCATAACACCTCTAAACACAGACAGGCAGACCTGATACACCTTTGATACACCTCTCTTTTCACCTCTAAATACAATACAGCTGCAGGGCTCATTGTGTGATAAACAACTTTCCCACAACCGAGGCACATGATCGCCGCACTGGCGGATTGCAAGGCCCTGCCGGTTGGGAAATGCTGGGATGTGTTGTAAGGTTTTTGTTTTGAAGGTCACCTCAAGAAGCAGGCCTTGAACTGTTCATTGAACGATGTAAGCACAATCTCCAGCTCTGGTTTGGAAGGCTTCCGGGATTGAAAGGGCACAAACTTCAGGATGCAATGGATAGCCCAAAAGTTTTTGATCCTTAGAGAGGTCATAGATTCATCGGGTTGGTGTGTTCACTTGTTCAACCTGAAAACACTTGACATCTTCCTTGGAAAAGAAATCTGAGTGCAGCCTAATCTCAGCAAACGCTCTCGCGTCGGCTTCTTTCCAAACCTCCCCACAATCAGATCCCCTACCGGGTCTGGCAGCGAAGTGATAGCCTCCGCAACGACCTTTTCCGGGACAGCTTTTGCAAGGTCAATGCCAAGTAGCTGCAAGGCACGAACGTACTTAGTGGCTCCTTTATTTGGAGCACATGACTGCCAATCCCACCCTGGCGCGCTGCTGTGCGTCTCCGAAGTTGATGACTCTGAATCGTACTCCAAGCCACTGCAAGGCATATGGGCAAAGGCAAAAAGAACAAGTCTCACAAGGCTTGATGGGTTTGGGCAAACCTGCGGTCACTGCAACTGTTGGTGAAAGCCTTGCATTATGAATACTGCTTAAAGTCACTGACAGATGCTCACTGTCCTTTTTGGTAAGCGTTTGTCTCACTAACTAACAGCAAACCAAGTGTCGCATCTTGAACAAAGCTCTTGGAGCGATCTCCAAGTGGACATTCGCGGCTGCGACAGGATGTGGCCCTGAGAGTGGATATGGATGTTTCACTGCGCAGGTCGATGCACAGTACTTCTAAAGAGATCTAAAGAGTGCGCGTTTTCAAAAGGTTCCCATTTAGGTGGGAGGCCATTGCTAGTAGGTTGAAGGCCATCGCTGATAGGTTGGAGGCCACCGCTCTTAGTTTCCATGCGCTGTGCCCAGCCTATTGACCCAAACCCAGCTCGAGCATACCGGCGCCAACCATAGAAGGCCCCCCTGGGATGCGCATCAAGATTTGCCGACAAGACACTGTACTGACTATATTGTACTGTTGTATTTATATACTGTATGTGACATGTCTTTGTGACTTTTGTTCTGATATATTGTGGTCTTTCTACATGGACTCTAACTGCGCAAACCAAGTATCCGCGCTGTGCAGCCTGGAGAGGAGAGCTAGGGCGTATGCAAAGCCTGGTGCTGCCAGAGGGAGTTGCGACGTAAAGCTAAACTCACATATCCTCTTGTTTGTTGGATGGAACTCTTGATTTACTTACGTTTGGGACTTGTGGTACTTCCTTATATGATCTCCAGACTATATACTTCATCTTTGCCAGCCATGAAACCGATGCCACTTAGAAAGTTCTCCAGCGGTGAATCGTCAAGCTCGAAGCTGGCAGCGCTATGGCCAATGGCCCTGCAGGCGATGCAAGAGATCAAACTGCCCAGAGCATGACTGGCCATGTCATGAACTTAAGGGTTGAATGCATGAGGTCAGTTTAGCGCTTGAGGGTTGAAGGCCCTGACTTGAGGGTTGAACATGCAGGGACTAAACCACAAGGCCCACACTCCCTAGGCTTGGAAACTGTTCACTCTGTGCATGCCTGAAACCTCCAGTGATGCTCTTGCAGCCAGCAAAGATCTCCACCGCAGATAGCGCCTGAGAAAAAGTGTTCAAGGGAGACCGGCAGGGACATTGAAGGCCCGCTGTTACATGACCATTCAGATAATATCCATGCGAAACAACGCAAAACATAGTCTTGACTAGCCACGAAACCACCTTGGGACATGTCATCGACAACACAAAACATATATCTTGACTCAGCCACGAAACCACCGTGGGACACGTCATCGACTGGAATACGCTATCCAGAAGCGCCAGCAAAGTGAATGGAAGGCCGGCCATCATCAAAAGGTTGAGCCTCAGATGTTCCAATCCCTGGTGCGTAGGGCCCCGTTCTCTGGTTTTGCACTTAAAACAAAACATTTCCACCTTACAAACCTTGGCGAGGAAGTTGGGAACCTTTATCCAAACGGCAGTGTCAAATACATGTTTTGGTGACCCTGGAACCTCAATTCAAACCTTGCATATCATTGCACCAAAAATAGTCCACCGGTGTTTAGATCCAAGGAACAGTTTCGAGTGCACAGGGTGCATATTGTTGATGGATACACGAAATCTCTTGTGCGCACCCATCTTTGCAGAAAGCTTGGCCTTTGGGGCCCTTTGCGAACCCTTCTTCAAATGTCGTGTCTTCAGACACTTGAGGGCCATGGCTGCTTTCACTGCTACTGCTCAAAAAGCTGCATGTGACAGCAGCTTACTTTTCAAACTTGCAAGTCTAGCTTCAGGACATGCAATGCAAATGCTCTGACAAACACAGAATGGTAGCGGAGAGGAGGGCGCCTGGTGCTGGACGCAACGCTCACGGAGAGCAGCTGCAACATCAGCGCTACGACGCACGCGCGCCAAAAGCACAGCATTGAACAGGTTTCTGTGAAACCTCTTTTGTGGCAAGTTCCTGAAAGCGTGGTAAATCATAGTATACTACGTTACCTACAGCACTATATGCATTGAACATGCGCAACGCCCACCATAGGGCTAAACACCTTTCAAAGCTTGCTCTAGAGATCTTGAATCATGAACCTGCAAAACCACTGTTTGAGCAGCTTGCAATTAACACCGCGCCCTGCAAAAGACTGAGCTCGATCTGTGTGCAGTGAAAAACCGACGGACTCGATCTGCGGAAGCTAGAGATTACGCTTTCACCCCCAAAAAAGGTGTGGCCGACACACATGTAGCACCGCTCAACAAATCATGTGCGTGAGCTTTACAACTCCAAGCATCTCAACATTCAAGAAAAAACACGGTCAACGCGTGGCCCCGGCCATGAACACTCGAAGGATACTCTAGGATATACATCTTATTGTGTGTTGATGTTTATATTTTTCCTCTACCCCCCCCACTTAGAAGCCATTCCGCTTAGAGGCTTCCAGGTGGGGGCGGTAGCCATTCCACATCGAAGCTCTATAACCATAGCTACAATCATAAACCCTCTGCATATGGGTGCTAGTGCTCATAAGCAAGCCTGGACACTGGCAAGATAAGCCTTTTGGCCTACATAAGCCTTAAAGCGCACTTTGTCTTCTTAACATGGCAAAGTTAAGCCTTCTAGCTAGAAGGCTTTGATTGCAGCACTCTCGGCTCTCTAGGTTTGCTGATACATAAAAACAGCTCCCACACACTTGGTTTTAGGGCAATGTTTCGCGATGAAGCCACGAATGATTTTTCCGCAAAGAATGGACATTTCATCATGAACGAATATTGATCAACCACACCGCATGTTGAAAACAAGTGGTTGCCATTGGAAGCTGTCTTGAACATCCATCTACACTCTCCTAATTACTCCTACACAGGTCCTATACACCAAGACTGATGTTCGCGACCCTGTTGACCTGTGCCGCTTGCGCCTAGATGATTCCACCGTCATCGGAGTCTCAGGAATCGCCAGTCTCCCCAGACAGCGAAGAAACCAAGGAGGATGAGAACGCGGTACAGCAAGAAATTGATTCTCCACTCAGTGGGGTTTCTCAGCGATGCCCTTGAGAGTTGATCTGCGGGTAGTGAGTGTGAAAGGGTGTGGACAATGACTGTAACAGGTTGTGCAAGGTGAAGGAGGTACTGTGTGATCCTGTTTGCTGTTCGATCAGTGGGCGAGTAGTATTTGGGAAACGAGTTTTGGAGGGAACTATCACGATTGCACGTTTCCCCTGGTTGCCAGGAATTGTGGTGAGAAATGCCTTTATCGACATAGATGAGAGTGACATGTCAGGCATGCTGACCAGGGCAGTCAGATGTTTCTTGCAATGTTGACTTGGAAACAAAAAGGCCTTCCTCAGAGAACCTTTTTTCCTTCTGAATTCGTGTTTGAATGCTTTGCTTCAATGTTTTGACTGACTCTTCTCTTCATCTTGGGATATGCATTGATTGGGGTTACCAGAGGCTCTGCTGAGCCGGGCTCTCCGGCCCACGTTAGCAGTCCGCCGGCCTCCACGGCCAGTCGAGCGGATCCCTTGGCCAGAGCCCCACTAGAACAGCGAACAGCACAGCTGAAATGCACATGGCATTCCTCCGTGGAACGAAAAACATTGAAAAACCCTGTTTCGCAGTGACATACCAGAACGTGCAGCAACACCTTCAGTGTCTCGAGTTTCAGCCCGCTCTTCCAAGTCTTGTAGACTATATAGACTACTTTTTGCGAGATCTTTGCAGATGCACAACTTATCGGGTTTTCTACACAAAGGATCTGAAAAACTCTTGGAGCAGGGCCGCGAAATCAGTCTTTGGTTTGTGGCCAGTTTGCAATGGGAATGTTCGAAAGAGTTGCAGTTAGACGACGCCCTTCCTAGTTTTCAATCCTCTTGAGGTCGGCTTTGCAGGAGAAGCTGAAGGACAGTCTGAAGGACATTGTCCTATCGCGTAAAGACTTGGCGATGGATGGCCAGATACAGAAGAGAAACTCTCCAAAGAAGGTGGCAACACCCCGACGAACTGGAAATGGGATCTTGTGGATGTTGACCCCCTTGGATTCTTCATGAAACAAACCACCCCAGGAGCGCGCAAGATGGATGTCGGGTTGCTCAGCAACGCAGGCCGCGCTACTTTTGAGGAACACAGAACAGCTATGGCCCCCCCAAAGCAACCTCAGGACATGCGCACAAGCTCCTCGGAAGACAGGTGGTGCCAGGGCATTGCACCACTACGAACTAGTACCACTACAAACTAGTATGCAATCTCTGCGAACCTTGACAGGAAACAACAATACTTCAATGCTTGTGTGTGTGAAACCCATGGTGAATCACTGATATGGATTCCGGACGCTGCATCCACGTACCTGCAACCTTTTGTGATGTTGAGTCAGTCCCCACTAGAGCTCAGGTCGGTGGGGTTTTGGAGGTCAGCACGTGCGCAATAAAGGGCGGCTAAAGCACTCGTCGTCGCTCTCGTTTTGCACTTCTTGAAGTTGAAGGTTTTGATGATGGGATCCCTTTGCAATACTTAGGCATTTGATGGCATTTGTAACACTGAGGTTTCTTGAGGGCAAGTGGCGTTCATATCGTGCGTACTTTTATCCTGAGTGCGCTTGTTCAAACTTGCCCACTTTAAGGCAGACCAATGGACAGGCATGCTGCCACCGGAGGCAACTGGCAAGTGGGATGTGTCGGAGGATGCTGGCCAGCTGCAACAAGAAATTAATCTGTTCGCAGAATCATATCAGCTACAGTATAAGCATATAAAAATGCTTGATTTTCGCCCAGTGCACTTAGGTGTGCTCATTGTCTTGCGGTGGCGCAGACATGAAGCTTCCCCGTCTCGTCTACGAGAGGCTCTATGAATATCAGCGCCAAGGGGCGGTCTGGATGTGGAATCTTTACCAAAACTGTCCAGCCCCAAGTCAAAGCAGAACATCAGTTTCCTGGGTCGGTCAGTCAATGCTGCCAAGGGTTGTTTGATTCCTTGATTGTCACCCTTGTTTGCTTCTGTCTCCTTGTGTTCCTTGGGCGTTATCATGCCAACATGGTCTGTGGTTGAAACAAGAGCGAGGCATTGCAAGACCAGGACATGATACTAAAGAAAATCAAAGTATATATATATATATGGTTTCCCGCCCCCGGGAGTAAAGAGTAACACACCTTTATTATCTTATTCCGTAGTGTTTCGGCTTTCAGGAAGGTGGATGAGCACCCGCAACGGGTGCAACTTCAGACTCCGCAAGCCAGTCGGATCGTCGGGGTACTGTGATCCCTGTTGGCCAGTTGTTCGTATAGAACGACTTGTCTTCACGCGTTGCCCTCCGCATACTGCTGGTGATTTGGTTGAATACATCCAGACAGTCACTACAACCTTGGAAAGGACTTGTGAAAAATTTGAAGCTGACCGTACCGCTGGCTTTGTGACTGACCACGGGGAGCCGATCCCTGGTGCCCGTGAGAAGGTTCTTGCCAGTCGAGCAGGTGGAGACTCATTCGAAAGGGTAATTCATCGCGGAGAGAAAGACCAGCGAGCTTCTTCAACGAGGAAGGCATCTTCGGACACCGTCCCAGTAAAGAAGGAGCGGGAGGCAGATTCGGGGAAAGAGCCCCTGGTGGACGCGCAGGAGCAGAAGCAAACAAGACGAAACAGATCCCGGAGACGGAGGAGATCAAAGAGCAATACAAAGCGATCAAGGTCAAGGCATCGTTCAAAGCGAAAGGAGAGGAAGGACAAGTCGGGGACTCCAGACCCTGAAACCAGTGGCATTGAGGAGACACAAGAGGAGAAGCCCAGCCCCTCAGCCAGGGTAGAAGAGCACGAGGAGCAGCCAGAAGAAGAACTGGCACTGGTTCATACCGAAGAGGAGGAGCAAGACGACGCGGAGACAGGAAACAGGCTTGAGCTCAGGCGTACTGCCAAACCATCGGCCCGCAAGCCGCTGCCTCGCAGACCACGCTCGCCATCCTATTCGCCTCCAGGCTACCGCGATCGAGAAGATCAGAAGCCAAAGAAGTGGAAAGGACTCAAGCGCGTCATCAGAGGTCAACTCTATTACAGCGGCGGCGCCAGCCGAGCCGAGCAAAGGGGAAAGGCAAAGGGAAAGGTCAGAGATGGCACCGAAAGCGATGCGAAGGCCAGCAGCTGCGCCCCGGCGTTTGGGCGTGGTGAGAAGACCAGCAGCACTGGACGAGGGGGACCGGGGACCGGTCCTTGCCCCCAGAGAGGAGCTGGAGGCTGGAAAGCTGATCCATGGGCAGGAGGCGACCTATTTCGGGATTCCCTGCCAATTCTCTGGCAAGGTCATGGAGGAGTGGAAGGGCCTGTCGGGGAAATACTACATGGTGAAGCTTTTCGGAACAGATTTGGAAGCCCTCCGCGGCACTACGGGTTACACCAAAGTTCGCCGGATTGCGGACGAGATGCAGAAGGTCCAGGAGGAAACCATCGGGGTATTCACACCCTGTAAGACCTTCGAGATCTCCCCTGGCGAGACGTCCTCGTCAGTGCAGGGAGGCGCGAAGGGGACGAGCTAGCAGGATTGAAGATCACCAGAAAAATTCAATCACCTAGATCAGAGAAGGATTAGATCAGAGCAGGGTCGCGTGAAATTTTATGTTTTTTACTTTTTTTGCATTTTTCACATGTGTTTATCAATTTTCCACATTTTTGATCATATTTTCACATTTTAAAACATTTTCCACATTTTTCACATTTATTTTTCATTTTATTTTTTGTTTTAAAAAAGTTACTATTTTTGGTGAAAACACCTCAAACACAACATGGTTAATCAAATTGTGTTTCTTGGGGAGAAGTTATCCTAACAGCTGAACACAACTGACTGCAGCAGTCATATCACGCTCCAGTTTGCATGTGAAATTATGTTTTTGCATCTTTTTGCATTTTTTCTCATGTTTCGAGATTTTTCGAGATTTTTCGAGATTTTTTGAGTTGTTAAAATGATTTTTCCTTTTATCCCCTCGAGATTTTATGAGATGTTTCGAGATTTTTTGAGATTTTTCGAGATTTTTTGAGATTTTTCGAGATTTTTCGAGATTTTTTGAGATTTTTTTGAGTTGATTGTTGCTAAGATTTTCATTTAAAACATTTTTTTGCATTTTAAATCTCTTATCGAGATTTTAAATCTCTTTGGAAAGTCTTCCATTCCAAAACCTCTCCGGCGCAGGGTATTGAATTTTTTTGGTGAGAAGAGCCGGATGGAGGAGATCGAGGCCCCAGGAGAAAAAGATCACGAAGCAGGAGAAAAGCAGAAGGAGGAAGTGAAAGAGGTGAAAGAGAAAGAGAAGAAAAAAGAAAAACGAAAGAAGCGAGCCAGGAGCCCATCGAGTACTTCCAGGTCGTCAACGTCCAGCTCCGAGGTGAAGCGCAAGGCGGTGGATCAAAAGGTGATGTTCGGGGGGAGTGGACTAGACCCCAGGCCTGAAGAAGGCTCGCAATCGTCGCCGACGAAAGGCTCAGAGATTCGCCCAGAAGTCTCAAAGCAACAAAGGGTAAACTATATTCGGGGATCACTGGGTCAGCCAGCTACCCGACGCCATGGACACGCTCATCCAAAGAGTGAAGTCGTTGGAAGCGCAGATCACTGGCCTCGCTTGGACATCTGCCCAACGATTAGAACTCCTTCCGAGCGACGCAGCCGCATTGTCGTCAAGGCAAGAGCTCCGGATTGCCACCACGGAGCAGCGCGCCGAGGCACAAGCGCATCAGGCCGGAGCGTGGTGGTCGAAGGGCGCAGGGAAGGAGTCAAGCAAAGGAGAATGTCAGGAGAAAGGAAAAGGAAAAGGGAAGAAGGGAAAGGAGAAGGCCTAAGGGACAATGACCGACGAGACCTTCAACCTGAGGTTACGGGGGTTTCGAACCCTGTGGCACTTGGGAAGTTGGTGAAGAGCAGCAGTATGAGTATGACGGGGCTGAAATGCCCTGGGATACAGCCAGAGACGCGCGGCGCAGGCCCTGTGGATGACACAACGAGTATGACAGCTGGCGCAGGGCCAGATCGGCCACACGGGGGCGCAACGAAGACGGGGGCTTTGGCCCTGAGGAACCGAGGCGGATGCATCATTCCCGCCGCAGGCGCTTATGAATTTTCCCAAAGGGATATCAAGTGGCCTGGCGCGAGACAACATCCCCTCGGACCGTGAGGGGGGTTTCTTCGCTCTGCAGCCAGCCCATGGAGGGGGAAAGTACCCTAAAGCACCACGGACAAAGCAAACGGATACCTTTCGCCTTCCAACCCTCCGTGGACAATTACTGCCCATCCTACTCGAGGAACTTGCATGGACAGTGGATTGGTTGATTTCTATTTGCATGTCTTTGAATTCCTTTTGGGGGCGCCAGAAACTTTTGTGTCAGGAACGACATCGAGCAGATGGAGTTGCCGGAGGTTTCCAAGATGCAGGCCCGAATCCTCCGGGGTTTGGGGTGACTTCTTTCGCACTCGGACCATAGACACGGCTTTGGGTTTCTGTTGGAGGAGCATCAAACCTGCCTTACCCAAAGAGATATAGGTGTGGCCCGTTTAGTTGACATCTGCGAACAGGGATGTAGGCACTATGTGGAGAACTTCCCCTCCTACCTGAAGTCTCCAAGTGAGTGGGGGCCCCTTAGAAGATGCCGCGTCATCGTCAAGGATGACGACTGGTATGATGTGGCCCAAGGATTGCTTGAGGCGGGGATTTTTGGAGTGGTCCCTGAATCAGAGGTTTTCAGGGTTGGGTCGAAATTGTTGCTCAACGGCCTGTCACAGGGTTGAGAACAACGAAGAGGCTGAGGGAATTCCTATCTACCGACTCATCATGAATCTGGTGCCACTCAATGCCAGGGAATGGCAGGGGATATACAGATCATGCCGCATTGGTTCGGTATGTCCCCTTTCCACATTGAGGCCCATGAGAACGTAGTGGTTTCAAGCGAGTCTCTCCCTCCTGGCCTGATACCGCCAGAGCTGAGAGAGCATGTATGCTACCCCTGCACAAAAGTGCTCCCTATGGGTTTTCGGAATCGCCCAGCACGTGCGCCGACGGTGGGATTCAGCCCGAAGTTGTCGCCTGAAGGTAGAGAAACAAACCAGGCCGCCAGGCCTCCACACACTACAAGATGTTTTTTTACTTATAAGTCCTGTTACGATACTTATACTTATATGTAACATAAGTATACTTATGCAACTTGTGACCTTACCAAATAAGTAGCACAAGTGCGACGGTAAGTAGCACATGGTGTGTTTTTGAAGGTTTTGATTCTTTCTGTCCGCATGTAAATTTGAACCAGATACAGCCGCATAAAAAAGAAATATCTATATATATATATATATATTCGCTTGTTCGTGTGAGCTGGTCGGCGCGCGGACCTTTTTCTGCCTGCTGCCAGATCAGGCTAACCCAACAGCGACAAAGAAGCCCTGCTGTCGCTTTCCCGCCCACCAAAAAAAACAAGAAAAACAATATTTCCCGTCCCGGTTTTCCCACAATTTTCCCACAAAAAATTTCATAATTTTTCAATCTTCCCACAATTTCCCTTATTAAAAGTAATTGGCAGTGTCTTTCCCACATTATACCTCTCAAAAGTTTTCCCACAATTTCCCACAAATTCCCACAATTCCGGGCACTCCGTTTTCTTGCGCCCAGTAAGTGCTCTATAGTGGCCCAATGAGCCCGATAGAGGCTTCCAGCTTATACACCTCAGAGACCAGCACACCCACAGCATCCAAGGCGTACAGGATGTCTGTCGCCAGCTGTCGCACAGCCGCGTCGGGCTCCTTCGACTGTTTGATGACCTCCTCCAGGACAACCCTCAAAACCTCTTTTCCCATAAGTAGGATAAGTAGAAAATAAGTAGAACATGGTTTTTTTCGTCATACTTACGTTCTACTTATAAGTATGCAAAAATTTTAA